GGAGAATGGAGACTCCATCCCCAGACGGTCCAGCTGTTTTGGAGACGTTTCGGAGCTGCTCAGGTAGACCTGTTTGCCTTTCCAGAAACCTCTCACTGCCAATTGTTCTACTCCCTGACCGAGGGAACACTCGGCACGGACGCACTGGCACACAGCTGGCCGCAGGGCCTGTGCAAGTATGCGTTTCCCCCAGTGAGCCTTCTTACACAGACGCTGGGAGGACGAGGAGCAGGTCTTGCTTGTGGCGCCGTATTGGACGCCCACTCGGACCTGGTTCCCGGAACAAATGCTCCTTGTGACACCCTCCCTGGCAGATTCCTCTGAGGAAGGATCTACTGACTCAGAGACGGGGCACCCATGTCCAGACCTCTGGAAACTTCATGTCTGATCCCTGGACGGGATGCGGAGGTTCTAGGTGACCTACCCCAGCAGGTAGTTGACACCATCACTTCAGCGAGAGCACAGTCTACGAGACCTGTTCGTGGAGTGGTGTTCTTCTCACCGAGAAGACCCCCGGAAATGCCCAATCAGGGTCGTGCTTTCCTTTTTGCAGCAAGGGTTGGAGCGAAGGCTGTCTCCCTCCACCCTTAAAGTCTATGTCGCTGCGATTGCTGCTAACCATGACCCCGTGGAAGGGAAGTCGGTAGGGAAGCATGACCTAGTCATCAGGTTCATTAGGGGGGCGAGAAGGTTAAATCCTCCCCAGCCCCCCTCTATACCCTCTTGGGACCTGTCTCTAGTGCTCAAAGCCCTACGGCAGGGCCCATTTGAGCCTTTGCAGTCAGTTGAGCTAAAGTTTCTTTCAATGAAAACTCTGTTCCTGCTTGCACTGGCCTCCATTAAGAGGGTAGAGGACCTGCATGCATTTTCGGTCGGCGATTCATGCCTAGAGATTGGGCCGGCTGACTCCCAGGCAATTCTGAGGCCCCGGCCCGGCTATGTACCCGAGGTTCCTACTACCCCCTTCAGGGATCAGGTAGTGAACTTGCAAGGACTGCCCCCGGAGAAGGCAGATCTAGCCCTAGCTTTGCTTTGTCCCATCCGAGCCTTGAGATGGTACGTAGACCGGACACAAAGCTTTAGGACCTCAGACCAGCTCTTTGTCTGTTACGGACGTCTCTAAGCAGAGGATGGCCCACTGGATAGTGGATGCCATCACCCTGGCTTATCAGGCACAGGGTGTGCCTTGCCCGCTCAGGCTGCAAGCTCACTCTACTAGAAGTGTTGCATCCACCTGGGCACTGATTCGTGGCACCTCGCTGAGAAGATATTTGTTGAGCTGCGGGCTGGGCGACCCCCAACACGTTCGCTAGATTCTATAGCCTTTGTGTGGAGGCATCCTCCTGTGTTCTCACCTCAAACAGGTAGAGGCACTGAGAGGCCCCGGTTTAGTGTCGGCTTGCAAAAACCACTCCAGAGAGTCCATATAG